TATGTCCATGTTGCCTAGGTTTGTTTGGGATGCACTCAAGGTTTGAGAGGCATTTTGCTTTTTCTGTTTTTCATTTTTCCTGTATTCCCCTGGAGGAGCAGAATGCAATGTGTTAGCTGCTTCCTGAGTTGAGAATATTTGTCAGTACTGCAGGGAGTTTCCCCACTTGAGTGTATGTCATTAGACCTTCCAAGGTGTTTAGTGGCTCTGGCTCTCTTCAAATGTGTTAAGTAAACTGGTCAGAACTTCGGCACACCCCATATGGTATTGTGAAGCTCCCCTACAGCTTGCAGTTACTGGGCAGGACTCTACCAGGTTCTTAGTGGTGTACCAAGGCTGATCAACTAGACAGTGTATGCCTTCAGCTGAAACCAACTGGTGTACCAAAATTGCATAGCTGCTTGGGGTTGCTGGGTGGGACCCAGATTCCAAGTGAGGTGCCAAAGTTTCACCTCTGGATGAGGTTAGCTGTGCAAGCCTTGGCTTGTGCCTCTGAGGGCAGGCGATTCCCCTGCTACTTGGGATCACTTGGCAGGCCCCAAACAGGCGTAAGGGTACTTGTAGGTCCACGGCTGATTGAGGCATTGGGCAGGGCCCTACCAGGTCCCGATTGAGTAACCGAGGTTGCTTGGCTGGATGGGATTCATTCTGTAGACCTTTCTGCTGGGCCTCTGAGGGCAGATGATTCCCTGGCCACTCAGGATTGCTGGGTGGGGCCCAAGCAGGCCTCAAGCGAACTATCCGAAGGTTCTGGGCTGACTGGGAACACTGGGAAGGGTCTTACCAGGTTCCCTGCAAGGTGCTATGTTTGCACGACTGGATGCAATTCACTGTGCAGGCCTTTGGCTCTTGCTACTGAGCACGGGCGAGTCCCAGACCACTTGGTGTCACTGGGTGAGCCAGTGCTTCATCTTCTCAAAGGAAATGTTGGTGGTTGGAAGTATACAGAAGAAAATAAACATTACTCTTTGTAGTAACATCTTTTTGTTTATTTCTTAGTATTTGCTTTTTCAGTGTTATTTGAGGATTATGTAAATTCATGGACATATATAATATGTAAAATGATGGTATGTACAATTATGGTAATATTAACTGACAAGTTTTAATCCTGGGTATTTTGATACTTTCTGATTTTTAAACATTTTATTGTGAGTACTTCATATAGATTTAACATTCCAAAATTTATTTCTATATTAAATAAGATTTAAAAAATTATTTCCATGGTAAGGAGGATTGTTTAAACTCTGTATTAATTCTTGTAAGTTGTCTGGTAATGTGGACTGTCTGTCTTTTGTAAATTATGTTTTCCCAGATTACAAGAAAACAACATAGTCAAGTTATCTTAGGAAACAAGGGTTTGATGATCACTGAGGGTTAATGAGAGAACATTGGAAGTGGTCTAGGCTAGCCAGATGTGCTACAAAAAGGAATCAAAAGCTGGGTTGTCTGTTACCATCTCTACTACTGTCAGGTTTTTTAAAGTACCTGTTTTATAGTATAATTTATATATCATAATATTAATTAGTACATGTGTGAAATTTAGTGATGCTGAATAATTTTACAAAGATGTACAGCATAAACACAACACAAATTCAACATTATATCGCTTCAGAGAGTTCCATTATTATCATTTACAGTTACTTCCCATTTCTACTTTCAGCCCTAGGCAACCATTGATTTGATTTCTGCTCTCACTAACTTGCTTTTTCTGTACATTATAATATCCTGAAATTTTAAGCTCTGTAGTTTTTGCATCTGGCATTGTTCTCTGAATGTAGCATTTTTGAGATTCTCTCACGATCTAGCATGTCTTAACAAATAGTTCCTTTTTATTGCTGGGGAGATGGGGCATCACATAGTATGGTTATGTTATGTTTTATCAGTTACCAGTTGGTGATACACACCTGTATTGTGAAGAATGCTTTTATGTACACTTGAATACATGTATTTGTGTGGAGCAATGTTATAATTGATCATATGTCTCCTGGTGTCTATATCACATGGTTTTTATCACTGCAATGTCACAGTTAGATTATAGGCATCATCAAACTTTGTTTTTGAAATTATTTTGCTTATTATTTATCCTTCAGAATTTTATAAAAATACTAACATTCACTTACCAATTTCTAGAGAAAAACTCTTTGGATTCTGTAGGGATTGAATTTAATTTGGAGATCAGTAGGGGGAAAATTTTATACCTTGACAAAGTGAGTCTTTCAGTCTGTGCATGTAGAATATTCTCTCAATTATATAGGCTTTATTTGCCAATATCTTGCAGATTCCAGTGTGCAAGTTTTGCAATTTGTTTGTTAAATTTATTCATATATATTTTACTTGTTTGATGCTATTCTGGTGGGATTACTTTGTTTTCGTTTTTGTATCTTTATTGTTAATATATAAAATACACATTGAAATGTATGTTTTGCTTGTCTCTTGAAATGTTGAACTTCTTTAACAGTTGTTTTATTTTGGATTTTCTGGAGCGTTTTATATTCTGACCCATGTCATATCAGAATAAAGAAAGTTCACTTCCTTCTTTTGCATCTGGATGGCATTAAGTTTGTTTTGTTTTACTCTAGTTTATAGCTCTACGTGAAAGTGTCTTATCTCTTCTCATGATAGCTGCCGTAGCTTTCATATTGTTTTAGCTGTAATGATGCATATTTTTTCTTAGCGCATTACCTAAGATCTCTTGTCTAGTGTTGCATGGAAATACTGAGAGTATTGATTCTAATCCTAGAGAAAAATTAATTTTAAATATGATAGCTGTATGTTTCATCACATTAAATACAATAATAGCTCCTGATATCTATTACCATACTCGGATGCCTGAGATAAACAGAAAAATATTAGACTTATAATTTTGAAAGATTTTAATTTGTAGTTTTTGCATATGGATTTCGGTTTTGATAGTCAAGTAATGCTTTTCTCACCAGAGAAGTTGGGATGTCTTCCTCCTCTATTTTTAGAAGTATTTATAAACAAGGGACATCATTTCTTTAGAGATTTGATAGAATTTATCAGTGAAACTGTGGAATTGATGAACGTTTTGTTTTGTTTTCTTGGGCAGCATTTAGTTTAATAATCAAGTTTCTTTGTCATAGATCTATTAAGATTTTTTGTTTCTTTATTGTTTGTAGATAGTATATGCTGAGCTTTTTTAGTGACTCTTATCAATTATTAAGTATAAGGTATTACGATTGGCAAGTGTTAGCCAGGTGTGGTGGTACATGCCTGTAATCCCAGCATTCAGGAGGCTGAGGCAGCAGGATCCTTGCAAATTCTATACCAGCCTGGGCTACAAAGTGAGTTCAAGTCCAGTATGAACTGCAAAGTGAGACCCTGTCTCAAAAAGGCCAAAAAACAAAAAAAAAAGATTGAATTATTTTTAGTTGTCTGGTTTTCTTTTTTTAACTTCTATCAGCTTTTGATTCATGTATTTAGAAATCTGTTAGGTATAAGTGTACCTGTAATTTTTATATCTTGCAAAATATTGATCCTGTTATCATTATGATCCAGGCTTCTTTGTTTGATTAATAATTCTTGTCTTAAACTTGGTATCAATTATAGCTACTGCAGTCTATAGCCATACCACCTGAATGCACTATATTTTTTTCTGGTGATTGCTTCTCCAGCTTTATTATCGTTATAATTGTAATACTGTACATTTTTTCTTCCTTTTATTTTAAACTCAATTCTCTTTTTGTTTTCTTATTTATATGTGTCTTTATAAGGTACTGAGTACCTCTTTAATTAGAAAATGTTTCCCATTTCTTTTAAAATAATTGAATTATTTAAAAGAAATCTGTACTATCTGATCTGTACTATAAAGTGATAGTAAAATTTAAAGTCAAAATACAAGTCATATGGCCATTATTTTCCCTCAAATTGTCATCACAATTAGTGTTTATAGATATTTTAATACTAAGTGGACTTTTAAAAGTGTTTTGCAGAATAATTTTTTATATAGCATTAAAATAAGATGTTTTATATCAGAAATTTTATCAATTAATTAGTCTTATCTGAGATGTTAGTAAAAGATAAAAAAATATAAATGTAAAAAGGGAATTTCGATTTTAATCCTACAGTGTATGAGCACTGAGTTTTCTATCAAGGGTATTTGTTTTATCTTAGAGGAACTCAAACACATAAAGGTCAACCAAGAAATACTTTGAATTGTCTCCTGGATCTTACCTGTAAACATTATGATGATTAAGTAGATCTTAAGTAGACCTCAGATACTTCTGTTTTAAATAAGTACCCCACAAAATTGTCATGCCTGGTCCTTAGCAGACTATGGTAGTTTGGTTATTTATTCTTTTTTTCTCTAATTCCACAGCCAAATACATGGTTATTTTCAGTTTATATAAAATTATTGCAGCTATTTTATCTGGGTGCTATAGTGCATGCCTATACTCCCAGCTACTGGGGAGGCTTAAGCATGATGACCTTAAGTTTGAGGCCAGCACTATCAATTTATCCAGACCCTGTCCCAAAATGATGTAACTTAATGATACATTGATTGATGTAACTTAATGATAGAGTGCTTGCCTATCATTTGTGAGCCCTAGGTCAAATCCCCAGTGCTCTCCCCCCAACAGAAACACACACATACAATTTCATTTTCTTATTTTAATTCATTTTCTATAGTCTCCAAGATATGGTTCATATGTTTACATCAGTTATGAAATAAAACCCACTATAAATAAGTGAAAATTAGAGCGTCTTTGTAATTATTACCTCATTAACTTCTATTGATGTATTATCTATAATGTACAGTATTATTGGTACAGAAGTATAAGTACAAATATAAACATTTTAAAAGGTAAAAATATTGTGTTAATTATTTAGCACTTGGTCTCTGGATATTATATTTGCTTTTTGTAGTACTATATTAAATGTTTCACATTTCAAACATAAAAAATACTCTTTTTACTATCATGTGACAGCACGTTTATGTTTATATGCCTTCATTCTTCTGTTTTTTCCCCCTTTATCAGGTGATGCTTTTCCTTGGACCATCAGCCTGCATCATTTCAGCATATATACCCTTCTTGGAAAACAGGTGACACTTTGCCTGGTGGAACCTATGGGTTGTACCTCTACTCTAGCTGTCACATCTCAAAAACTAATTGCTGCAGGACCTGATACAAGACATTCATTTGTTGTCTGTCTCCATGTTGACCTAGAGTCCCTAGAAATAAAATGCTCTAATCCACAGGTTAGTACATTGGATTTATAAAAGGCAAGTTAAAATTGCATGTTTAAAAATAAGTATGCATTTTATTGGAAGATTTCTCTTCTCATTTCTTTTTTTTTAACTGGTCCGTCAGTGGTGCAAATGGTTATATTAAGAATTGCTTTCTGTAGTTTTATAATTTAAACTGTTCTGAAAAGGTACTGATGTAGCATAAATGCATCTTTGATTGATGGAATGAAATCAGTTATAATTGTAATTCTCTTAAACACTGAAGTGTTTTTTTTACTGTCAAAATGAAAGAATCTGTTGAAGTGAGCAAGTTTAATTTTTGGTTACCTTTTTACTCAGAACCTCTTCATTCAGTGTGAAGTATTTAAAAAGTAAATAGCAGTGTTTACTCTTTGAAAGGCCTCCTTGAAAAGAATTGAGTTGTCATAGGCTAGTCATGTATTTTTCAGCCTTACAGTGTAATCTGAATTTATATCACCTGGATTTGTATAACTTATTATGGGAAATTTAGCACTTGGTTAATTTTTATCACTGAATAATATTGCTATATATACCTATGTGTATATGTAAATATATCTTTTCATTTTCTGCTTTTTATTATCTTTAAAATTTAATTTATTTATTGATGGACATTTTGATTGATTCCATGTTTAGCTATTATCAGTAGTGCTGCAGTAAGCATCAGAATGCAGGCATGTTTTTGACATGTTGATTTCATTTTCTTCGTATGCATGTCTACTAGTGTGATTGCAAGATCATAGAGTAGTTCTGTTTTTTAGTTGTTGAATGATGTTCATACTGTTTTCCATAATAGTTTTATTAATTTACATTCCCACCAACAGTGTGTAAGAGTTCCTCTTTTTTCATATCCTTGCCAAAATTTGTTATTTGCCTTTAAAATGCTCATAGCCATGATGTATTAAAGGGTGGTTCTATTTTCAGATTTTTGTAGAACATCAATAATACTGTGTATAATGGCTGTACTAATGTATATTCCCACCAACAGTTTGCAAACATTCTTTTTTTCTCTCATGTCCCAGTAAACTTTTGAGAACTTGTCCTCTCTTCTTTCATGATAGCCTTTCTAATGGATAAGGGTGATAGCTTCTGTTTTTAATGCTAATTTCCCTAAATTTGACAGTTTATAATATGCCTTTTTGGCTATTTGTATGTTCCTTTTTGAGAAATGTCTGCTTAGGTTTATTACCTAAAGCAGGATTATCTGGGTTCCTGTGTGTTCGTGTGTACTTGTGTGTTTGTTTTTGTTTTTTCCAATTTTTTGTAATTCTTTATATAGACTCCGTATTAACCCCATATCAGATTTTGCAAATATTGTGTCCCTGCCTCTGTTTCTTTTTCCCTGTTGTTTGTATCTTTCACTGTATAGACATTTAGGTGAATGCTTTCCCGTTTACTTTTATTTCCTGTGGTTTTGTGGCCTTGTCAAAAAAAAAAAAAAATCCTATCTATGTGAATGTCTTAAAATATCTCCTCTATTTTTTAAAAAAAATTTTGTAACTTCAGTTCTTAGTCTTTAACTCATTTTGAGCCACTTTTTAATGTATGAAATAAGAGATGGCTCTAGTTTCATTTCTTTAGATAGAGGTATCCAATTTCTCCAGCATCATTTATTGAAAAAGGTGTTTTCTTTTTTCACCATGTTATTTTCACTTTAGTGTAAAATCAATTGAATATCATTGCATTGATTTTAGCCTATGCCTCCTTATTTATTCTTTTTGCTAATAGCTGTGGCTGTTTTAATTTTTCTGTGGTTCTCTGCACATTTCAATTTTTATTTTTTCTAGTTTCATGAAGAATACTGTTGTATTTTGATAAACTGTTTCGAATCTATAATTACCTTGATTATTATGGACATTTTTTTTTGAACTGGGGATCAAACTCACACTTTCCAGCAGGTGCTTATGCCACTCAGCTAAATCCCAGACCCTTATTATGATCATTTAAGTGATATTAATTTTTGCAGTTGATGAATGCAGGATCTTTCCACACATTCCAATGTGTGTGTGCATGCGTGTGTACATACATATATTTCCTCTTCAGATTTTTTCATAGTGTTCTATAATTATCATTTTAAAATCATTCTTGTTTAATTTTTTGTTGTTAATATAGCTTTTGCTTTCTTGGTTTGTATTTCAGGACACTAGCTATGGTGTATAGCGATGCTGCTCATTTTTATATATTGATTTTGTACGTTACAACTTGACTAGACTTATTTAGCGCCAATTAGTTTTTCATGGAATCTCTGGTGGTGTTTTACATATAAAGTCAATTCTTCTGTAAACAATGGCACTTCATTCTAAGTGCCCTTTAATTCCTTTCTGTTGTCTGATGCTCTGTGTAATGCTAAAATTTGTTCATTTTTTATCATGAAGGTATGTTGAATTTTCCAACTGGCTTTTCTGCATATATTAAGATGATCATATGATTTTAGGCCTTTATTCTTTTGCTGTGTTATATCCTATTGACAAATGTTGGGCTATCCTTTCATTCCTGAGATGAATTCTCTTTGCATATGATAAAGTATGCAGTTGGATTCAGCTTAATAAATTTTGTTTGTTTGTTTTGATACTGGGGATTGAACTTACAACCTTGCACTTGCCCAGGCAGGCACTTACGCCACTGAGCTGTATTCACAGCCCAGTTTAATATTTTGTATATATTTTTGCATCTGTATTTCTCGAGTATATTGGTCAACAGCTCACTTTATTTTTTAAATCTTTGTCTGGTTCTGGTATCAGTTTAATATTGGCCTCTTGTGTTTGGAGAAATCACTCTTTTTAATTTTTTTTTTTTAATCAAGAAGAATTAGTATTAGTTCTTTCAGTGTTCATTAGAATGCAGCAGTGAAACCACCCGGTTTTGAGCTTTTCTTTGCTGGGAGAATTATCAGTATAGAATCAACTGCATTATTTTTTATTGATCTATTTGAGTTTTCTGTTTCTTCATGATTCAATCTTGATAAAATATATATATTTAGAAATTTGATCATTTCTTCTAGGTGATCACATTTTATGTTGCATAGTTGTTTATAACAATCTTCAACGATCTTTTATGTTTCTGTTGTAATATCTTTTTATATCTGATTTTGGTTACTTGAGTCTTTTACTTTCTTAGTCTGCATAAGCAATTATCAGTTTTGTTTATTGCTCTGCTGAGGAATTAAACCCAGGACACTCACATATGCTAAGTAAGCATCTATTGTGAAGCTCCAACCCAAGCCTGATTCTTTTTCTTCATTTGTTTGTTTTTGTTTTCTATTATTTGTTTTATTAATTTTAAAGAGAAAAGATAAAAATAACAATAAAACAGTTTCAAAGCAGGCTAGTAGAAGTTACAATAATTAATGCATTGTATATTGTTGTCTTCATAGTAGTTACTTAGCATACAAGATATAGGCATGATATCTTGTCCCAACAATGTTAGCACAGGCCTTTCTTTGCAATGAAGAGCCACTAGCTGCATATCTGTCTTAACTACCTTGTATATAAATGTATTTTTTTCCTTTTCCATTTGTTCTTTTCTCCTTTTTCTTTTTTCCCTTTCCCCATCACAGTTTCTCTTTTGAACAGTTTCTTCCCAGTTCACAGTATCTATTGTACATATTCTATCTTATTTACCTGTTGAGTTTCCAACATTAGTGAGACAATACAGTGTTTACACATATGGGTCTGATTTATTTCACTTATGAGTATGGTCTCAAGTTGCATTCATTTACCTAATCTCTAGTTTATGATTTTTTATGGCTTTGTAAAACTCCATTGTATAAAAAAAAACCCACAGCTTTTTTGTCTATTACTCAGTTGATGATCATTTTTTTAAGAACTTGCTCTTTTTTTTCTATTTCATCATTTTTATTATTTTGAAATATTTATTGTTATTATAGTCCAATTATTTCTTTCTTCTGTACTTATTTGAGGTTTTTCTTTATTGTTTATTATCTATTTTAGATCCAACAGTAGGGTTTTTTTTGAAGATTTTTATGTTTTTTTTGATGTGGATATTGATTGCTATAAACTTTACACTTAGTACTTTTGTTGCATACCTTAGGTTTTTGTATGGCATGTTTTCATTTTAATTTATTTTAAAGAATATTTTTATTTTCTTCATGATTTCATCCTGATCCATTGATTATTCAAGAGTTAGTTGCTTAATTTCCATTTGTTTTTTCATTAGTTTTTTTTTTTGTTGTTGTTGTTGTTGTTTGGCTTTGTTTTTGGTACTGGGATCGAACTCGAGACATTTGAGTTTGCTAGGCAGGTACTTGTGCCGCTGAGCTAAACCTCCAGCCCTCCAATTACATGGTTTGCAAAATTTTTCTATTACTGAATTTTAGATTTTACTGCATGATACTCAGAAAAGATATTGAATATGACTTTTATTATTAAAACATCCTATTTTTTGGACTATCATATGATCTCTTCTGGAGGATGTGCCGTGTATTTTTAAGAAGAATTTGTATTTTGTAGTTACCAAAGAACAGTCGTTCTATGTTGGTGTAGTTCATTTATCCTAGGGTCCAAATTAACTGTGCTGTTCTTCGTTGATTTTCTGTCTGGGTAACCTGTCCCTTGATGAAAGTCAAATGTTCCAAATAATTATTGTACTAAAATTTCTCTTTCCTTTTAGACCTATTAATATGTGCTTTATAAATTTGGGCACTCCATATTGAATGAATATATATTATAATATAAATGACTGTATAATACATATTATATACAAACATGAAATTGTTATGTGTATAAAATTGTTACTTTTATCATTTGTAATGACCTTTATACTATCTTTTTACTGATTTTGGTTATATATATATATATATATATATATATATATATATATGATATATGTTACTTTCCTTTAGAATCTAGTTTCATGAATTATTATATTCCTTCTGTGCATTTCCTTAATGTTAAGTGAATTTTAATTGAGTTTTTATCTAGTCACTCACTCTTTATCTTTTAATTGGGGAATGTAATACATTTAAATTTAGGAAAATTGTTAATTGGTTAGATATTTTGCAGACATTTTATAACTTTTTTTGCTTCATTATTAGATTTTTTTCCCTTCTCTTACAGACTTTGTCATAAGGTGATTTACCAAATTATATCATAAGACTTCCAAAAATCATTTTTGATTTTAGCAAACTATTTTGAAATGGTTGTACCATAAAATCATGCAGATAAGAAAGTTAAACAATAAAAAGAAGAAAAATAGTAATTAAAAAATGACCAAAATTACAGACCATTTCTCCTTTGAAATTTTATGTCCTCTTTCACATCTTTCTATACTTTTCTGTCTCTTAACTGTGTTAGTTGCTGGAAAAATAACCAACACCTGCTTAAAGAAAAGATTAATTTTGACTCATGGTTCCACAGGGTTATTAGCTGAATCCAGGGTAGAAATATCTTAGAGGAAGGGCACAGTGGAGAAAAGCTGTTCAATCCATTGCAGCTCAAAGGCAGAGAAAGAAATGGGTGAATTGGGAGACAAGAATACACCCTTCAAAGTCAAGCTCCTAGTGACCCACCTTTAAGCAGGCACATTCAGGTATGATATCATCAGATCAATCCACTTGGGTATAGTGCCCCCATGACCTAGTTATCTTCCAAAAGACGCATCTCTAAATACATGAGACTTTTAGCATTATTTTAGATCTAAACCATAAAACATATATAGATATTATTTTAATCACTTTTTTAGTCTTCGCACTAACGATATATCTTGTACTCTTAGCAGTAGTTTTATATTATCATATTATGTTCTTATTTGTTAATAGCTCTTTAAGTTGAAGAATTCCCTTTAGCATTGTTTTTTATGACCCATCTAGTGAAACTACATTGTTAACTTTTGTTTTATTGGAATTGTCTTCATTTTTAATTTGTTTTTAAAGGATAACGTTAGTGGGTACAGTATTTTAAGTTCATAACTTTTCTCCTTTGGTAGTATGAAAATCTGATGTCCTTTACGGTTTCTACTGAGAAATCTATTAGATAAATTGGGATACTCCTATGTTTATTGTTTTTGTTTTGTTTGTGGCTTTATGAATCTTTGATCATTCACCTCAATATTTAAATTATCCTCTGCAGTAGACTCAGTTGAGTAAAATCTGACTGGTGACTTTTGACCCTCTTGAACCTTTATATTTGTATTCTTCTCTAGGTTGAAGACTTTTTCTAATTTCACCTCTTTAAAGGAACTTTCTAAACCCTTTGGCATTCTGAAGTCTTTTTTTGAACCCCATCAAATGTGAATATTTGCTCTTTTAATACTTTTTAGAGGATCCCATACAGTTTTCGTCTTTCCCTTTTTTTTTAACTCATGAATTTGCACTTACAAGGCAGGCGCCACGCCACTTAACCTTGTCCCTGGCTCCCCTACAGTTTCTTGATTTCTCTTCAATTTTGTTCTTCTCTGAATAGATATTCTCAAATATCCTGTCTTTAAATTCCTCAAATCTCCTTTTTAAATCTAATTTTATGTTTATGTTTTCTATCATATTTTCATATTTTTTATTTTGCCTAGTGTGTTTTGTTTTTTGTTTTTGGTACTGGGGATCGAACTCGCAGTCTTGCGCTTGCCAGACAGATGCTTATGCCACTGAGCTAAATCCCAGTGTGCCTAATGTATTTTTAGTTCAAAATTTTTAAATTTTTTTTATATTGGCTTCCATCTGTCTGTTAAGTTTCTCTTTTTTAAGATTCATTCATCTGTCTGTGTTCTCTGGAAGTTTAAGTGTCTGAATAGCTCTTTTAAGTTTTCCATCCAAGATTTCGTACATAGTGGTCATTGTATAGTTTGTGGTAAGTTTCACCATTTCCTGGAAGTTCTTGATGCCTGTGTAGATAAATTTCATCTGATGATTAGGTATATGTATGGCAGTGTTCATAATCTGACTCAATGCCTGTCTCTCCAGAAATATTAAGCCTACTGCTTATTTTTTCTGAGTTTGTAGTCACTTCCTCTAATTACATTCTACTGTACATTTTTGTTACTGTTTCAGCAAGAACCATGCAAGCACCTATAAGGGATAGTCCATGCTGCAAGCCTCTTACTGTAGTATTGTTATGCCAGATGTTCTCTTCCACAGTTATGGGCTCTGCTTAGGTGCTGCAAGATTCTGCTCAATTCTGGGCAGAATCACAATGAATGGAGCAACTCCAGACTTTAGTACCACACCTATGGCTACCACCACTATAATGCCATGTCACACACTGGGCCCACATCTCGTAGAGTTCAGTGTAACTCTGGATAGTGCTAAGACCTACACTGCTATTGCAGATCTACTGCTGACGTGACTCCTGGTCCAACATTGCTGCATCCAGCTTTGGGTTATATGATCAGAGTATTTTTTTAGGTGTTTCTTAAGTAATTGTATTCCAAACAGAAAAGTTGATTATTACAAGTTTTTTGAAGTCTTCCTTTTCTTCTTTCCCCATCTAAAGCAACCATTGATTTTACTACTGTAGAGCAATTTTTATTTTCTAATATTTTGTATAAATGATTCATATGGTTTTTTGTTTTTGTTTTTGTTGATTTTTTTCATTTAAGATTGGTCAGTGTTGCATGCATCAGTACTGTTTCTTTATTGCTAATTAACATTCTGCTATATGGATGTACTTGAATTTGTTCAGTGCTTATTATTGAACATTTGAGGGTGTTTTTCTAATTTTGGGTTATTACAGATAATGCTGATAGAAACATTTACATGTATATCTTTCTGTGGACATTTTCAGAGAGAGATACTTAAGAATGGAATGGCTAGATTATATGGACAGTATATGCCATTTTAAAAATTATGAAATTGAATGCTGAATTTTGTGTTCTAACTTGCAGAGAATGAGAATTTCAGTTGCTGTGTATCCTCATTAATAGTTGGCATTTCATACATTCTTCTAAGTGGAACATGATAGTGCATTGGAGTTTTAGATAGAATAAGTACTAAGTGGAGGATGAAAGCTGAATATTTATCCTCAAATTAATTGCCTTCTTTTGGGAGGAAACCCAGCTTTTATGTTAGGAACTTTCTGCTTTGAAAATAAAAAAATACATTTAAAGCTTATGTCATTGTTTGGCATTTTATAATAAGACACTTTTAAGCTGAGGCTCAATAAGGGTGTGTTTTGTCAGGAGTGTGGAAATTTAGAAACTAGTGAAAATGAGCTTGTTGGCCCCCTTTCGCTACCTGTATTTATGCTGATACCCTATATGATGTTTACTAATAGTAAAAAGGAATTAAAAGTCATAATACACCAGCATTGTTTCTCATAAGTAAACATTATATCCTTAAAAGCATATAGAATGTGTTTCCTTTGTTTGTACTCTGCCTATGTCACTTTTTAAAAAGTAAAATAATCTTTTTTCAAAAATTGAGTTTATTGTCAAATTATTTCTTTTTAGACATTTATCATTATGAAGGAGGAAAAGTTTCAAACTAAAATTTTTCAAAAAATATGTATTCATGAGTTTATTTTTAAACAAAAATAGCTAAATGCTTAGATTTGAGACTTTACAAAAGGAAGAAAGCTACACTCAAGTACTGTTTTATATCAAATAAGCATTGACATCAGTGTTTTTTGCATCTGTTCTGCCCACATAAGAAGCCAGCTTGATCATCTGGATGTGTCCTGAGGCTGAAACCTCTTATAAATATGAGAATTTCACTTTTTAAAAAAATGGCAAGCAGAATATGGTATCCAGCTGTGGATTTGCTTATATATTGTGTGTGCAATTTTACCCTGGGCTTGTTTTATATAGTATTTGGCAATATGTTGTCATACAAATTCCATGATTAATGCTTATTTATGAAATCTTGTGTATATATCTTAGTTCTCAGTCAAACAGTGTGGAAGTTAAACAGTTTTTTTTCCTATGAATATTGGAATGACATATCCCAGGGGAAAAGTAGGTTAGATATGTTCTTTATCTATAGAAAAATCTCATATGTAACATTTTGCTTTGACTGTTCTATGTTATATCATTCTTTTTCAGTTTATTTTGCCAAGAAGAAATTTGTTTCAGTTATACTTCTCAGAGAGATAAAAATTAGACATAGAAATTATTGAGAAATACGATGGTAGTGATTATATATTCCACAAAATAATTTCATATACTGAGATACACACTTGTTTTCTAATTTTGATCTTTTACTTTAAGAGACATGTGATTTGTTCTGTTGTTTGTAACTTAAATCAACTTTTCATTGTCAGCTGCAATGATTAGCATTGTTTTATTCCAAAGAAATGCTGGTTTTAAAGATATCACAGTGTGAGGATGAGGCAAATTATAAGTATGAATAAATCAAGAATAATGATAGGTTGGTAGATATTTGAAGATTCTTTTTTCCTTGTGCCAACTTAACATTTTGATGAATTGTGAGTAGAAACTAAAAATTTTATGTTTTTTTCTTTTATGGTCAGGTGCAGCTCTTCTATGAACTAGCTGATACTATAAATAGAGTCTGGAATAAGATTAAGAAGAAAGGCAATCTGAGTACATCTTCAGCATATTCAGAGACTGTGGCAGGCCCTGTCCCCAGTTCTCCAGTTCGAAGCAGTGTAGGTACAGTTCCTCCAGATACTAGCACATGCAGCCCGTCTGCTGATATTGGAACTACTACTGAGGTAAGTGTTTCTAAAAGTCCTTCTTTCAAATGAAGGATAATATATAACACAGAGTTACATGGCATGGTTGGGATTGAAGATGATCTCACCACTGTGCAAATGGACAGATTGGAAAGTCTGTGTGGAACTCCAGTAGCAATGGCTGTGTATGATAGTCCTTTGAGGTCCAAGTATTTTTTATAACTTTTGGTATGCTGTGGGGTAATTCAGAACCATGCAGGCTGTGTGAAATAGTAGACACTGAGACACAGTAAATATGTGTTCCCTTAGAAATATGGAAACTTAGAAGGTTAGTCCAAATGAGATCCACTTTCCCTAGCTCTGTGCCTCAGCCCCTGTTTGAGCCAAGGTATTACTGTTGCCTTTAGTTGAGTGATTTTCAACCCTATCAGACCCAGTGTCTTCCCTCCAGTAATAAAGTATCATTAACTTTAATACCATAGTGCTACCAATCCCTCTGTTTAACTTCTTGCCCTGCCCAGTGTCTTCTTTCTATTGGTGTTCTGGGATTTGTGCACATTTTTCACTCTCTCAAGAAACTGTTCAAAAGGAAAAGGGAAATAGTGAGGGTTAAGGAGGAAAAGAAGGAAAGGACAGAAAAGAAGTATAAAATGAAAATACAGCATCATCTGGCTGCTAGTGCCCTTTTTACTGAACAAATACTTTAAATTACTACCTTATTATCCTGAAACAAAAATAAAATATATAGCATGAAATAATAATATAACTTGTACATATTTATAGTTTTAAAAATAGATGATAAATTAAAGGAAAATAATTTAATAAAGAGTATTTCATTATGTAAATGTTTTGACATGATTAAGAAGCACATAATTACTGTGAAGTTGAGTTCTGTTAATAAACTTGTTACAGCTATATTAATACTACCACTAATACCTCTATTAGTTGTGTGATTTCCTCAAACAGTGACAAATTTGATAAAGTTTAAACAAAGACAGTTCAATGTTTCGTTTTAGTAATTGCATTTCTGAATCTCTTAGTGTTAAAATCTTGTAAAAGTTTTAAAGCAGTTGTATTTAGATTTAAAATATATTTTTAACCAAATATTTATAAATAGGATTTTCATCTATGTGTTTTGATATTGAGACAGGCTTCATTTTGCAGGAGCGTCTTGTTTGACTTGTACAGGATCTCCTGAATCCCTAACTCCCTGCTTTTCAGTGCTAGTCATGACTCAAGATTATTGTACCAAGCAAAAATTCCTCATTCATTGTCAAAGCACCCACTAAATTGCTGAGCTTTCCCATTAAGGATTACTATTCTATATATAGATGGAGTTATAATTTTGTTTTGTTTGAAGAGAACTATTCCCTCTACTGCCAAAATAATGGAATGGAAATAGTAAGTAAAAAGAGTATTAATTTTTTTAATTTTGAAAATCAGTACAGGCAAATAACTCAAATTTAAACATGTTGGAATAGATCAGTTTCACACCTGATACAAGCAACTTCTCTCTTCTTAATTCCAAATCTTAACAAACAGAGACCTAAGTGATCAGAGATTTATCTTTTTCTTTTGCAAATAAGAAAAAGTGGAAAAGTCCTTTTGGAATTAATGAAGTGTATCTGTTCGAGATTAAAAGCCATCAGTTCTGTTTTAGAGACTTTTGATGCTATTAACATATGAAAGCTTTGAGAATTTTTTCAGTGAAGAAAGCTACTTAATTTTATAGAATAAATCAGTTTGCAGATATTTTCAAATGGTTCTTTTTATGGTGTATGTATTAACAATGCATAAAATGTACTATATGAAGTACTTTGTTAGTAGGCAAGTGTAGATACAAGTGAAATTGCAGTTAAATCTTAGAGACTTTTCAGTGATAGGAATGAGTGTGTCTTATTAAACAGTTGTTTACTAAGTATTATGTTCAAAATGGCTTGAAAATGAATATGAGCACATAGTTTGAAGATGTTCTTTTGGAAAGATATTTGAAAACCATTGCAAGGCAGGAGAGTCTGGAATGTCATGGCTGTTGATTATATACTTGTAAGGATTATCCCACAATGGGTAGTATGAATTGTTCACTCAAGAACTGTGCATTGTAGAACCTACACAAAAAGAACATGGCAGCCTGAATCTCAAATGTATTAGAAATAAATTTGCTTTTCATTCACAAAGGAAGAATTAAATTTCTTTTGTGAATCTAGATATTTTGTAGCAGAAGTAACATTTGAAATGGATGTTTAAAAATGAAATATGGGTGAATCTTTTGTTTTAGTAGGTTCACGGTATATCAGACTAGAAGAATAATACACCTTTATTAGCCAATGTGGTAACTAAAAGAGGGAGAGATTAAGATAAGGAAAAAAACTATGGAAAATTTTGCTCAGTTACATAAATGCAAAATAATTCTGGATTGGGCATCTAGTTTATTGATAAAGCACTTGCTTCACATGTGCAGGGTCCCTGGGTCAATTCCTGGTACTGCAGAACAAGGAAAACAAGCACATTTTTTAAAAATTCTGATTTTAATAAGTTTTTTACCTAACTGTAATTGATTTCTGCTTATAATGTTGATTTTTTTTTCTGGTTGTGTTCTAAAGATAAATTATGAAAATATCGACAGTGAATTTGTTACTAGCTATGGAATTAATCTGATTTGTTTAACAAAGAACTGAAAATTACTAGTGCTTCATTATGGATTTGAAACCCAATCACTTAGGAAGCTTGTTCCCTGAGAAGTATCTTTAGAATAGCTTAACCCTTTCATTTCCCTTAAAGGACAGAAAGATTTTTATGAAGATAGTTATAATGATCGATATTAAGACTTTGTATTAATTTTACCTTAGAGCTTAGAGGAGGTATTTGTTTTTAATGTCATATTTAATTTTGTTTTTTCTCAATAAAATATTCATGTAGAGATCAAAATTAACTATGGATGCATCTGAGCTTAAATTTACTTCTTTGAGAGTTAGCTGTAAAGGGTGATATCAAAAATACAGTGAATGTTTACCCCAAATTATGTAAACGCTTTATCTATAACTCACTCTCTGCTTGTTTAATTCACTCAGAATTCAAAACTTTCTGTTAAGCTTAATGTCATAAATGTCATAAATGTTATAAATGTCACAAAGCTAAAAATACAACCTCTGCACTGTGATGCCATAATTTTGAATGTATTTGTATTATATGGACTTTACAATTTTATCTATTGTTGAATCTTCTTTACCTTATTTTCATGTAATATAAGTAGATATTAATAAAAAACTTATTCTATGAAGAAAATAGAAATAGTTCTCTTTTATTTCTCATTGTAAAAGAAAAACTTCTGTTTCTAGTGAATGAGTATCATAAAATATAAATGTGTTCTTTATCATACTTAATACAGGGAGTTTTGTGAAATGTTTTCCTTCAATTCTGGAAAATTCTCAGTATTATCTGAGGCAATATAGCATGTCTTCTGCCCTCTGTATCTTTCTTAATTTCCAGAGTAATCTTCCAAGCAACAACAACAAAAGGTAGAATTAGTAATTTATTTTCTCTAAGACATATCTTTTTTTTTTCCAGGAGAAAACTAGTGAAAATGTGTCTACTTTTTGTTTATAGGCTTCCTACTTTTTGTTTATAGGCTTTCTCTTTTCTCAGCCCTAAGAATTGGTTTCTTAAGGTTTAGTACAGTAGTTTCGCAGATCTTGACTTATGAACATACCTTCTTCTCTTAGTCCTGTCAATTTATACTTCTCTTGTTTAAAGAGATTGTCAGATACTTTAGTCACCTTTTTCATTTTATATCCCAGAAAAGGAAAACATAGTGAATTGAAGTTAGTGGCACAGAAAGTAGGGAGTGGGCTCACTCATATTAGCATCATTCTGAGCTTCTGGTATCTATTGGAAAAAGATCTTGAAATCAAACTTGGTTATAATATTTAATCAATATTTCTTAGATTAATTATCTATAAAATAAAGATAATACTGGTATTCCTTTCAACAATTAGTACAACTATTAACTGAGTTTATAGTTTTTCCTATATTCTATGTGTATTATACAAGATATACTTTTGTTTACTTTTATTTTCTGCAATTTCAATAACATTTTGCCTTTCTGATTGATTTTGTGGTAGATTCTTCAGTGTTAAACATGTTCATTCAAGTGAGGTTTTTATGTCTGTATCACCTTTAATCTGTAATATATTGTATCTAAATGCATTGATTGATTTTCAAATGTTAAACTGATCGTGCTTTTCTTCAATGAATTCAACTTGGTTTTGGTATATTTCCCTTTTTTGTATATTGCTGGATTGAACTTGCTATTTATTAGGAATTTTGATATGTATAGTCATAAGTAATAATGACTTTTGATTTTTTTCTTATAATTTCCTTATATTTTTTGAGGATGATTGTATTTTCATAAAATAATTTGAGAAGTACTCCTACTTTTCAACTTTCTAGAAACACATGCTTTTCATGTGAAATTTCTCATAATCACTATATATTTCCATGATTATCCATAAAGCAATCCTAACTGCAAACACCACATCCTCATAGCAACATTTTGTAATTTTAAGCGTATCCATGTATTACTTTCTACATATTTTATGAGATACGATTAACATGTATGAAATTGTATACATTGCTATAACACAAACTTAATCTAAACTGGAGGATCTTAACGTAAATGTTATTTACATACACAACAAGGTTTAATGTAGAATATTATTAGAAGAGATGGAGAAGGAAATGGTAGTACTCATGGAGAAAGGTCATTTGTTTTTATAAAAGGAACACAGAAAATGTTCTTGATCTTGTTTTTAGTTCTGATTCTGCTGTTTTCCAAAAAAGTGAATTTTATATTATTCATTAATAAAAATAAGATGAATAAAAATTTGAATCCATTCTGGTGACCCAATTTACGTCAAATAAAATTAGTAAGCGTATTTATTATATATGCTACTTGTATATAAGGCGTTGTTTTTACACAATCACAATTATGTATTTGTTATGTATGTGTTAGTACTTTTTGCCTTTTTTGTGCTAAAATT